ATTTTTACAATTTATTTCCATTTACATGATTTACAAGGTTCTCATTTCATATTTTGCTTAAGCGATTTTCACACGGTGAATGCACTTACATGTATATTATTCCACAGTCTTCAATGAACTGGCTCAATAAAACCAAGCTAGGAGGCGAAAGGGATGTTGCACTTTTTCATTATCCCTCTTGTATAGACTCAATCAAACCGAGCCTATAATTTTAATTTTATGTTATTGTGCTTGATCACTCTTTTTCCAGATTTATTGCAACATTATCAATTTTGCCGTCTTGGGCGTCCTTTAGATTCCGTTTTATTTTTTTTTTTTATTAATCAATTTATTTTAATCAACTTCTTTTTTTATTCTTTCACGATATATTTGATTATTTATTTGCAGGTATTGTCGTTATTCTTCTGTGCCTTATGACACAGTTAGTAGTAACAGTTTCAGACGGTCACGAGTTCGATTCTGACATAAAAGGTAGGTTTCTTCTATTGTTATAGCTTCATTTATCATTAAGGTTTTCTGACATAAAGGGTAGGTTTCATCTATTGTTATAGCTTCCTTTATCATTATGGTTTTCTGACATAAAGGGTAGGTTTCTTCTATTGTTATAGCTTCCTTTATCATTAAGGTTTTCTGACATAAAGGGTAGGTTTCTTCTATTGTTATAGCTTCCTTTATCATAAAGGTTCTCTGACATAAAGGGTAGGTTTCTTCTATTGTTATAGCTTCCTTTATCATAAAGGTTTTCTGACATAAAGGGTCGGTTTCTTCTATTTTTACAGCTTCCTTTATCATTAAGGTTTTTTGACATAAAGGGTAGGTTTCTTCTATTGTTATAGCTTCCTTTATCATTAAGGTTTTCTGACATAAAGGGTAGGTTTCTTCTATTGTTATAGCTTCCTTTATCATTAAGGTTTTCTGACATAAAGGGTAGGTTTCTTCTATTGTTAAAGCTTCCTTTATCATTAAGGTTTTGCATTTGTCAATAGATCAACATAACCAATATTGTATATCTAAGACAATTGTTTTTTTTTTTAGAGATATTAACAAATGGTCCCTGCTCCATGGGTTGTACAGGCTAATATCTTGAAGTGTCAGCGGCTAGGTGTATGAGAGATAGTGCACGTTTTATAATCAGCCCTGTAATCAATATAGGAACACATTGAATCCCCAAAAAACGCGAGCAACAGGCTCAATTTAACCGGGCCTGCAACATTTTGAATGTTGTCGTTTTTGGCAGTTTTATGGATTTCTTTATTTATCTCTATTTTACAATATTGTTATCTCGTTTCAGGTGTAAAACGTGTTGTATATAGGCGGGCTTTGACTGATCAAACGGTTACAACCTCAAAGCCAGATGGATCACATAATGATCTTCTACATGAACTTCTTCTTTTCTGGAAAGGAAAATAACGCCGAACTAAACAATGACTTTTGAATATCTTTGCTTGTATTTTGAAAAGATAATACATGTTTAAGATGTATAAAATATTCACAGAACAAGTGTCTAAGTTACTAATTGAGATAAAAGTGAATGGCATGAACATTTTAACTTGTCTTCTGGTCTTGAAACTTGAACCTCGATCCTGTTGCAGTGGACAGGGGCCGTGGACGGTAGTAAGTACTTTAGTACTTTACAATACCGTCCTTTAACAGACTAAATCAAACCGAGTTTGTAACATTTTCAATTTTGTCGTTTTGAACGTTCTTTAGGGATTCTAATTTTCTCTTATTTACAATAAAATAAAGTTAGAATCTCTAAAGAAGCCTGATTTCTATGGATTACAGGATCAAATTTATGTGATTGAGGTTCGGTGCACCATTGACCGGTTGAAACTGCTCAAAATTGGATTTGCTATAAACTGCTCAAAGGTGGGGACACTCTGTTGGCACTTTTTATGGCTCTGTGTCTTATGTAAGCAACCGCAAACATATAACGTTCCTATCAAACCCCACATCTGTGCATGAATGCAGTCAAAGGCACTTACTTCTGATTCCACGCCAAATGCCTTTGATGTGTCAATATATACATGAAAAGATCTTAACAGAGCAGATATATGAAAATAACGCATATAAATTCAGTTATATTTACCATAAAAAGCAATCATCAGTCATATTAGATTTGTTTCAATAGTATGGACTTTAATGTCGGCTTCACTTGAAACAGGTTCAATGTATCTGAGAAATCTGTATTGTTTTTCCAATGTTTCAGTGAATGCTTCACCAAACGAAAAAAAGGATCACAAAGTATTTTTGATACTTTTAAAATGTCCTCCACGTATGTGGAATTTCATTGGTACCATGTTATTTCAAATTTCATTTAATTCACTTTCGCCCATCTTTTTATCGTTTAGGGCACACGCATTTATTTACTTTCGGACCATATGACGCTTTTCATCGATTGACACTAACGTGTCACATTGAATGTTCCATGATAAACGCCATACGAACACATCAATTCAAAAGCTTACGGGTTTATGTTAAATGTTGAATTCTGCATAAGCCAGTACAAGGGGATGTGTATGGTAGTTTGCAGCAACCACTACCAGAGCATGCAACATTTTTAATTTTGCCGTTTTTGCCAATCTTTAGGAATTATTGGTGTTTTTCTTTGTTCCAGAGACTGATAGTGCTCTTATGAGTAAATTCATTGTATAAATAAAAATCCTATATAGCCAAAAAACGACACATATTGTGTAAGACCTTTTGTCAATTTAAAATTATATTTAAAAAAGAAGACTTCCATTTTTTTGTTTCGTTTATTTTCATTTTCACGCTTTCTTCATTACGTTCAATCATCGATTTTTTTAATAACTTCTGCGTTATACAGTCAGAGTGTAGCTGTATTTGAAATTTTTGAGGTCATGTGTGGGATTGAAACTATGAATTTTTGTCGTAAGAGTCCAAATTTGACAGTAAAATTAACTGGAAACTTGGTCTAAACCTGACTGAAGTAAAATAAAAGCATTCAGAAATAAAACGATATATTTAATTATTAAACACTATTCAAACCGGTGTGTATGTAGAGGTCAGCCATAACAAAGGAAACTGATATCTTATAATTGTCAGTTTGAAGAATTACGTATCTCGAATAAGAACACTTTGATTAAACGAAATGGTGAAGGTAACGCCTTGTTTTTTTGTTGTTGTTTTTTTTTTTTGTCAATAAAAAAGAAATGGATATCTAAATTGCACAAAACTTTGAAAAGATTTAACACAAAGAAATTCCGATGGAATTAAATAAATTTTATGCTCCATACATGATTTTTACAACAAAAATCTTATAAGATATTTTCAAAATATTTGAAAGGAAACGGTTACAACGCTTATAAGGTAATCAAAAATGTTGCAACTTTAATAATTCAACAACAAAAAACAAGATATAAACAAAAACGAAAAGGTGTGCACATGCTTTATCAAAGAAACTACACTTTCAGTAGTTTTCTAAAGCAGTATAAACAAATTCAACTAACCGAGGGATACTGCCTTAATACCAATAATTGAACTTCCAATAATCAATTTTGAATTTTACATTTACATAACATCATGGGATAGGTCCGTTATATGATTTAATATTCCCCAAGGCATTGAAACATGTTCTAATCAAATGAGCAAACAATTTAGTGTATAATTTAACTGTTTTCAATCAATCAGGGGATAAACAGAAATGCATTTTACTCATATAATATTTATAGTTAACTTTTGCATGTACTTGTGCGTTTATTGTCAATAATTAGAAAGGGAGATGAGATAAAAACTCGTGCTGGAAACGCAGATTTGTGAACAATAGCAATAATTTCTATAACATCCGTGTTCGTTTACCTAAATCAGCAAATATATAACAAAAGGAATCAACAGGGAAGGGCAGCGTTCAATTAATACGACTCCTATTTCAATTTATATTAGATGAGCTGGGATAATGTTTTCACAGTAAAATCTGCTGCTGAAATGTTAGAAATGTATATGTGAGTTCACCGTACTTCATTTCAATGATGCTATATTTTTCTGGTTTTTCTGGATCATTGATTACGGCACTTTACGTGTTGAAAATTGAGTACCACTCGAGCCGGTGCTAAGGGGTATGAGGGATGTTGCACATTTTCATTATCCTTTATGTACAGAATCAATCAAACCAAGTCAGCAATTTTCATGTGATTTATGCTTCTGAGGGATTACACTTTATCTACATTGGTATGAGTTAATTTATTCTTCTAAGGGATCACATTTTATCTAGATTTGTATGAGTTAATTTATACTGGACGTCAGAATCAACAATATGGGCCGGAGTATCTGCGCACGTGCTTAGCCGGTCGCCGTAACCTCATCAACGGCGTCTTTTCAAGCATTAATACTTCTAAGACATCAAGTTTCTAACAAAACGGCACTTGTTAGAGTCAACCTCCCGACTTAGTCACGAATGGTCAACCAATGATACCTGGTAGTTAGGTTGACTTTATTTGTCATGTGCCTTCTCCGAGACGTGCACGCCGGAAATGAAGAAGTAACAAAACTTGGACAGATTCTCAGATTTAATACTTCAGACTAGTCCACACTTTGTTAAAACATTTATGTGTTTATTCATTGGCATTAATTTATTCCTTTTCGGATTGATTACCATTATTGCTTGTTTGTTATTTACGCTTTTTGAACACCTTATTGTCTTTTTATTGCTTGTATTATATTGCTTTGTATTGTATTGTATTGTATTGTATCGATCAATGTTTTGTGTTATTGTGTATGATTATGTTCAATGTACAAAACAAAAAGTAAAATTATGTTCCGTGAAATGGCTAGTTTAATAATGGCTGCATTTTAATAGTGAATTTTACGTTTTCACAATTTGAAGTTGTATTAGAAGACGCGATATGATAAAATGGAAAACGAAAAATGTTGGCATTTGACAAATGTTGCCTATAAGCATGAAAATACATTCAAGTCAAAATGGTACTGTGTGTCTTGATGTAAACTGTAAATAAAAAAAATGAATAACAATTGAACTCCAGTTATGATAGTGGCACTTTATTTGCAACAGTTTCTAAAGTTGACATTAATAAGATGTCGCTTGATTATTACAAAAATAGAATATACAAACATTTCCAAGATTTGATTTTGAACATGTCTTAACACTCAAATTAGTATTCAGGATGTTATTATTGCAAATGGCGGACATGCCACTTTTATATAGGGGATTGTGGTTAATGCACAAACTTTAAATTAACCATTTAGCACAAAATCTAATGCAAAACATATCTTACACCCCTTGTTTTTATAATGCTCAAGTCGATACAAAAAAAATTGAATACAGTTCAAACGACGTGATGCCATCCTCTTTTACACTAACCCGACTTTTTAACGGAAAAAACAAGTTCAATTTGTTATCGAAACAATGCCTTCTATGATTTAATTGTAAAACAATGGCATTTAATGAAAATATTATAAAAAGATTTTAAAACAAAAACACACAAAAACACGGTCTCTTGCATGTGTTTTATATGTGAACTTGGTTATGCTTTAATGCAATCGTCCTGAAACCATAAACACGTGCTTGCAATATAAATTCCTTTTAAATTCGCATTTTACTAGCTTTTTCATATCGTACCAACACTGTCAAGGTCATATGGCGACTTTCCAGCGTGACCGGTGGAAGAAGATCCTTCGTGCATTATTTCAGGCATGAACGGGCACGAGTGAAACCACTTACGTTCTATAATTAGCTAAATAGCTTTATAGCATGAGACATGTTAAGTCACCGGCTAGATTCGAACCCACAACGGTGAAGTCAACGACTTTCTCACAAAAAAATACAAATTAAATAATAAACAACTTTATATAAACAGCACACATTACCTAGATAAACTAATATATAATAAATTAAATAATTAACAACTTTATATAAACAGCACACGTTACCTAGATAAACTAATATATAATACAAATACTATGATCATACAATACATAAACAAGAAACAGAAGCACCTATACATAATACTTATACAAGTTGGTAATTACTTTTAAAGGTGGTTCATTAATCAATGTTTTTTTATTCCTGTTCTTGTACACATTCATGAACCTTTAAATTAACGGTATTACCTACTCGGACGTTTGAAAGCAATTTTCAGTTTTGTTTAATTTTAGCCAGATTTAAGTTAAAACGTTTAAAAGTTTTTACTTTGTATGCTATTTTGCAAAATTAAAATGATTATATTGAAAATCTGAAGTGAGCAAAAAATCTAAAATTGTGGTCTGGATTTGTATCAGGTGATACGAAGATCTTATAAAAATATTTTGAATTCCATTAATATTAAATCGAAATTTTTAACATATAACAATGAATACATGTATGTTGGTTCTGGATTACATTGCTGCAAAAATGTTTTAACACTTTTCAAGATACAGAACAACACTTGACTAGTACTAGTTTAACATGCAGGGATAAATAAGCTAAAACCTAGAATGTTACAAGGAACCTCATAACGTGAATAATTGAAAGTTCTTAATTAAAATATCCTTCAGACTGTAAGAGTAACGGTGAATTGACAAAAGAACGGGAAAGTTTTGTTTATACTCTAGGCATTCTTATTTCTTATTCTTATTATTCATTATTTATTTAACATGTTTAAATTCATCAAGTTTTGGTCACTGATCATTTCAATAAACACTTTTGATTAAAAAAAACAACTAAGTAAGCTTGACTTGACAACAACAAAAATTAGCATAATGTCACTGTTACAGTGAATTACAACATAAAATGTTTTTTATAATTATCACAAACTTCGTTGCATTACATTATAGTTTGAAGTGTTTACCCTTTCCTATAATACAAATGTATGTTCCCCTGCGAGTCGACAGATATTTTAGAATAGATGGTCCAATAGGGAGCATTCAGCAGTTCAGCGATCACTTACCACTGATTTCGAATGGCATAAAATCATAAATTCTATGATTAAAATAAAGGGATTTATTATGTACTTGTAGATGAAATATTGATGAAATAAAAAGCGTATTTTTATTTTCAGTATTTTTACTGTAAAAATTTATTTTTCACTGCAGAGAAACATATTTCCGTATTTACACTGGTGTCTTGTCGGACTACGTTCTTCTAAATTCTGCCAGAACACAAACTTTCAGGGAAAGTCTGTCAAGTGGCAATGCAAAAAATGAGAAAAATAGAATATAATAAACATGATTTATTTTCATCTCCTTATACAAAAATTTTCATATTTCACTCGTTGCTGTCGCCACTCATTAAGAAAATATTGTTTTCATACAAGTCGATGAAAATAAATCCTTTATACATAGACAAAACATAAATATCCTCTGTATAATAAATATATACGCAAAACTTATCTGTCACAATTAAATCATAAAAAACAACATTTTTAGAATTATTATCTAATAAAATCATGTAGTCACGCACCCACACGCACGCACATTACATTTATGTAAAAAAATAACAGTAAAATAAAGATATACACTCATATATTTTAATTCCATGATAAAAGTTTCAAAAATAATGACGAATAAAATGACAAATGACTAAAAGACTTTCTATAATTGTGATATTCAATTCAAAATGATAAACTTGTGATTTTGAATAACAAATGATTAGTGCTCAATCGAAGTCTTCGTATAAAGAAACATGCGGTAACTTGCGCCTTAAACTGTAAGTTATTGAGTTGACTTCATATTAAATCTGTGCGAGCAGCATATTTCGATAAACCTTCTAAAATTTTTTCGGTTTGCAGTTTCCAATATGTTCAACATGAACATTGCACAAACACTTTTTATGTATTTAAGATGGAGTGTCACATTCTATTGTAAATATATTTTTTATTATTCAAAGTCAAGTTTTATTTTATGTTGGGTTATATTTCGTTAATAAGATGCAACGATCCTGACAATTACAACATGCATGGAATCTAAGGTGAATACGGTCTTAGTTTGTTATTTTGCACAGGCGGTACAATAGAGTAAGTGACTAAATTCACTGACATCATGTTAAGATCTTGAGGCCTTATGAAACCCAATCTATTAACGAAATGCTTGTTTTTATGAAATTTATCAAATGCAGCTTTAATCATTTGCATTTTTTCATGTTTGATTTTCCTATATTTTTCAGTGTCGATTCATCAACATTTTTTGTTTAAGAAGCAATCGTACAGAAATCTAAACCTATACAAAATTAGAACATACCAATATTAGACCCTCTACATCAAGTCACGGCCGGGATTAGTGAGTGGAAAAAAACTTATTGGTGACATGCCAAACCTTATGAAATGCCGTTCAAGATTACTGTAATGTTTAGCACAAAACATAGTAGCGAAAGATATGTAACATACATGTCGTATACGTATAATGACAAAATAACAATAAGATGACATAATTGTAAAGTTTGTGTGATTTTAGTAAAATGTTTTAAGTGCAAAACAGAAGTCTTGTTTATGTAAACGCATACTGTAAACTAAATTATAAATAAAACTTTTCTAACTCTTTATCACTTCCGTATTGTTCCCTACAACTTTTGATTTCATTTTGTTGATGGTTCTTGGCGACCATCTCTCTCCTTGGCAGCACTGGTGATGCAATCTTGGAACTTGTTATAATTGGTATTGGAATATACCGTGTTGTAATCTAAAGCATGCTATGAGAATAGTCAAACCAGCGGAAGCATACGGGTCTTTGAAGCAAATGTATTACTTATCACTATAAAAATCTGTCCGCTGATGATAGGAACTGAATTACGAGTTGACTCCTGAAAACATGCATTTAAATATAATAGCGTTATTTCACGTAAACGCCTACTTCGCATAGGGCAAGATTATCTTCCCTATCATGTCCCTCGCTATTTAACTTATTTATTCTGACGTAACGACCAGAACTTGTGGGGATACAATTTATTTTGACTATGCTGCCTTTTGTTGTTACACCTGTATGATTAAAGCAACGAGTATTTGGAGGACTGTGATTTCCAACCAAAACATCAAAATTGTGGAGTCGTGATTTCGTGTCCAAATCGTCTGAAAAGATTAAAAGCGGAATCAGAGCTGAAATTATTACAACTAATCTCATATTGACATTTTAACTATCATGTTTTAAAATTAACAAGCATGTATCTAGCTATAGATAAAAAAAAACCACTTCCGAGATCGATATTTATTTATATATTTTATTCTATTTTTATTCATTGGCAAAATTTAGAGAAGTCTGAGAAATCCATTTAATGACCGAATAGCCAGCTAGCATTGAACAAAGAAATAGCTATGATACCGACGTTTAATTTCTTTTCTTAAATGAACAAATATCAAACTAGCATAGAATCAAGAGCTGGCTCTGAGATGGATTCTAAAAATTCCTTTAGCGATCAAATTTCCTGCTAGTATTTAGAACAGAGCTAGCTCTGATATCAATATACAAGTTCGTTTGAATAGCAAATACCCAGCTAGCATTGATTACAGAACCAGCTCTGGGATTTATATTTGAAATTTCTTTATTTAGTGAATATTGCGCTAGCACTGAACTCAAAGCTGACTATGAGATCGGCGTTTAAAATGTCTTTAAAAAAGCGGATATTGTGCTAGCATTGAACCAAGAGCCAAGTCTCAGATCGATGTTTAATTACTTTTTAAAAGCGAAAGATAAAATATAAGGGACAACCCTTCCAAGAAATTGCACAATCGCAGATTTCCAGGAATTTCGGTGCAATTCATATATAATTTCTTTTATTTCACTTCTGCGGACACTCCAAAGACTATTGCACTGATCAGCAAACGTTTCACTGATTATCGCAGAACTTAAGGGACCGCCACGCAAACTGATAGTATGACATTTTGAGTTATAAGAACTCTGCCGAATCCAGTGCATAAGTCTTCGACTATAAGTTTTAAATTCTTGCAGACTTTCAATAACCCCGTTGACATTTGCCGCGTGTATTTTCCATTTCATATTTATCCTTTCCAAACATTGAATAAAGATCTAATATTATGCTAGCACGATATTTGCTTGTTTAAAATATCTAATTCAAGCTGATACTTTTGATAAATTTTGAATATAGATGTCAAAACAAAATGCTAGCACAATGTAGCTAGCTGGATATTAACTCGTCTAATATACTTGAATATAAATCTCAGAGTTTCTGTGTTATTACTGCTAAAATAATATTCGCTTTTTAAAAGAAAAATTATTATCGACCTCAGGGTAAGCTCGCATTTTGAATGCTAGCTCGATATTCACTCGTTTAATAAATATTGCATATCGATCTCAGCACTAGCTCTGACTTTAATGTTAGCACCACAATATCCAAAGCGATCCCAGAGCTAGCTTGAAATTCCAAGCAAGCTAGTAATTGTCTGCTTTTAACTGACAAACTGTATATGAGCGTACAAAGCTGAAAATTACATTTTGATCTACGATTTAAGATCTCAGGACCAACTTCGGAGCTTGTATTATCATGTAAGCATGTGCACGTATACGAATTTAAACCTTGACCCAATTTTAGTTTCAACATAGCATAGAAACCTACCTCTTGTTAAGATGAAGATCGTCTGTATGGAATACTCTTTTTCTAAATCAACCTCCCACCAAGTTTGGATCTCTTTGGGACTTGTCAAATAAAGGGGTTTTGTATGAGAACAGGACTTGCTTGCGGTCATGTTAGAATCCCATATTCCATCTGTAGCTCTGGTAGCAGTTCTATTATTACTTGTTGACCTTTGAGTGGCGTTCTTGTGCAGGGCAATATTCAAAATATCTGTAAATATATTATGGAGATGTGTTCATATTACTATACACATTGTATCATAGTTTGGGGACCTATTTTTCTGTTGAAAATGTGTCAGACATATACATGCACAGTGCGTTAACTGGAGTGGAGGTATTAGTTACCCGCACTCCATAGCTTGCTTATTGATTGGCTCATTTTTTTTTCATATTTTTCCACATTGTGGCGAAAGAAAAAAGGATAACGATAGAAAGGTCATATTTAGATGTTCGGTCGTTGGTTAATTTTTTTCTGGGGTTTCATATTTTTGCCTATGATACGCCCCATCGTACAAATGAGATAGCCTCGTGTTTCGATCCTCTTTCTGTTTCTTAGTGAATATTGATTACTAGACTAGTATATCTCACTTAAAATGTTTTTCAAGATTTCTTATACATTTGTATTTAGTTAAAAGACAGCTGACAAGATATGGTACAAAATGACACAAATAATCATTTAATATGCTAATCAGTGAAATACTGGATTTCATCCGTGTATAATTCCGTGTATGATAAACAAAAGCCGTGTTTGCTTAGTCAGCAAATGCTGACGGTGTATGCTGTTGTATGGTATTGTACTGTCCTGTATAAAATTGTACTGTTTTGTATTGTATACGACATTAATGAACAGTCCGTACCAGACAAATTTCGAAAAATGAAATTTGAATTATAATAATGGAACATAATCGTCACATTAGTGCAGTTACGGGTTATCTTCTATTCTATTATTTCAGGAGTTTATATGTTTATACACTAAGGTAACGTATATATTTGTAATATATGCTTATGAAATACATGTGGATACCTACTGTTATAGTGAGTACATTCCACATTTGGAGACCAGTTTCCTTGTTTGTCACATGTGAATGTTTCTGTCGTTATGTTTTGGTTGTAATCTTCCGTCTTGTTGGATACAAAGTCCGTATAACACGTCATATCAGCATGCGTTGTATTCCAGGTCACATTAGCAAAAGGTATCTTCAACTCCGTACATTCTTTGAACAAACAAAAAAAACAAAAATAAGTTGATAAGAGATTTAAATTCCCTCAGTATCGTCAATTTCATCTACCCTAAATAAAAATCACCTTTAACGTCAGGAAAATTTAAATGTATAGATTCATAACATAAAGATGAAGTTCAGCTTCATAAATCCAGAAATTTTACATTTTCCTGTAGGCCGTTACATGTCTGTATTGCGTAACTTGTTGTCAGTAAGCCGTAACATGTCTTTACGCCATGTCGCCAGTTTGATTGTTACTTTTCAGTATGTCATAAAATATCGTCCGAATGCCGTAATTTGCCTATATGCCGTAACATATCGTGAAAAAGTTGTAACTTTTCTGTATGCCATAATATTGCGTTAAAGTGGCATAACTTGTATGTATGCCGTAACATTTCATTTTTTTTTAAAGAATATGACCAGGGATTTGATTTGATTTATCAATTATAAGATTCAAATGTAATGAAGCATAACAATTTATGCTTAAATTCAATCAGGATAGAACATAATGTTAATACAAAAATATATGCAACTTGTAAATAAATTATAGATATAACAAGAGTATTATTATAACGTGCTTTTGCACGGGATATGGGGATCTGCAATCCAAATATAAAAATTCTAAATTTAAATAATTTTTAAATAACAACTTTATTACTTGTATAATAGTCTGATGGTGAATGTTCACCATGAAAAGCTCTGGGTTACTTATATACAGAATCTGCGATTTAGTGCTTAAAAGCCGTGAAATACGAGCAGGATATCTTGTCACTCAAATTTGAAAGCATAAATTATCAGTTATCACCTTTGTATTTGATCTTTTCTGGCATGTCCGTAAACTTATCACCTCAGGCTTCCTGTACAGGATTTATTACTTATTAATTTTGGCCAAGAGCTTTTTTAAGATTAATTATCACCAATCAGTGTCACCTTAGAGTAACACTGACAAGCTGTAAGAAATCTTATCACTTTATCTACCTTTTTAGATTCTAATTTTGTTTTTATAATTCTTAAAATAATAATTTGGAATTGCAGTTGAAAATTTAAAAATTGTATAGTGAAAAAAATATAATTATCTCTACTTTAAAGAAGTAATATTAATTAGACCAGTATAATATAATTATCTGTACTATAAAGCAGTTGAAATGATAAAAACACAAATACAATGTTTCATTTAAAATAAACAATTACATAATATACATATTTTTATAAATTACATGATATACATGAGAAACGAAATGCATAATATTACATCCAGAATAATAAACATTATAATAGTATTTCATAGAATAAATATTAAGATACTAAAATCTAAAACATAACATTTACATATACTTGGTAGTTATGCATACATTTGAAAATAAAAGAAGATTTCAGTTGTGTGGTACAAATTTGAGATGTACTAAAATAACAAACATTCTTGATTATCGAACAACACACCAGTAGTTTATTATACTATGCCAACATAAACATGTTTCATTTATTACATTAAGTTCAATATCGGACTCCTCTATATGTGAATATAAGTGTATGTCTTGGCTTGTTCTAAATCATAAGGGACCATAACCAAATTTACAAATAACTCAAATACATGTACTTTTATCATGTGAATCAATCTCATTTTTTTCTGGGGTTAACATAATGTGACGACAAAAAAGGATAACATGTCTGAATGCCGTAACTTGTTGTCAGTAAGCCGTAACATGTCTTTAAGCCATGTCGCCAGTCTGATTGTTACTTTTCAGTATGTCGTTAAATATCGTCCGAATGCCGTAATTTGCCTATATGCCGTAACACATCGTGAAACAGTTGTAACTTTTCTGTGTGCCGTAATAAAGCTTCAAAGTGACATAACTTGTTTGTATGCCGTAACATGTCAATATGATTAGGAATTTGATTTGATATATCAATTATGGGATTCAAATGTAATGAAGCATAAAAATTTATGCTTAAATTCAATCAGGATAAAACATAATGTTAATACAAAAATATATACAACTTGTAAATAAATTAGAGATATAACAAGAGTATTTCATAGAATAAATATTAAGATACTAAAATTTAAAACAATACATTAACATATATCCAAAGTCCCTGTCGGGATCCGAACCCTCAGCGGTGAGGGAGGGGCAAGTGGTTTGAGGTCAGATTGTACGTATTTAAGATAAAAATCATTCTCAGACTCAACTCCACCCTTAAGTAAAATGTTTTTTTACTTTTTAAAATGTCACTTGTCTTCTTTTATACGTAATTGGTTGTAAGGAAATTGCAACAAACTAACTTCGTCAAAACTACTCTTGTCTCAGAAAGAAGTTGTAAGTTATGCATGTATTATAAAGAGTGATGCGGCAAAAAGTGCAAAATATGTGTTGTTGCTGACAATGTAAATGTGCTTATACTACATAATAATTGATCTGTAAACGTATATTTTGCAATGAAATGTATTATTGTAGAATGGAAAGGAATATAAAATCATATATGTTCTCTGAATTAAACCACTACATACATGCATATATCCTTATTTACGTGAATTTTCGTCTTTTAAAGCCTTTTAGTATGATAAATTGTAATCATCGTTACTGCGTTTTTGCCCTACGCAGAATGCATAGGTTACTATGGAAAAATCGTATTGTTAAAAATTCTATAAACATAATACTGCCTCCAGTATTAATACTTAGGCATAAAGGTTGCAAATAAATCAAACATGATTATTTTGCTAAATCAGCTGATATAAATAATTCAATCATGAATAATTCAATCATGAATTGTTAAATTGCTTAACAGAATGGAGTCACACATGCACAAACACTATTCAACTGAGCCATTCAACAAAACAATCATAAAATCATCGTCAATAAAACCACTAGAGAAAACAATGATCAATATTACAGGTAAGTTATTTTTCAAAAGTTTTAACGATAACGAAAAAAGGAAAATAAATGTTTTGGAAATGTAGTAATATATTAAAAAGAATGATGTATACGGAAGGGTTGTTATTTAATAAATCCCCAACCAAACAACACAGGACCCCTGACAACGAACCCAGCATGACACCAAAAGAAAACAAAACCAAGAGATGGTACAAAGACTCGTAGTTGCATTATTTTTCTTTCGACAGTTTCGTAATTACACATATATTTTGAATGAGCATGTTTACAATTATGGCGCCATTACTTGAGAGAATATTTACTAGTATATGGCAGCTTTAATTCGTCATCCTTAAAAGAAATTCGAGCAATTTAGTGTTAAATTGATTGGGAGAAAACATGCAAGCCATGTATTTAATACCACTTCCCGCTACCTAGATGATATCCTTAACATGAATACTTCTTATTTCGATCAAATGGTTACTGAAATAAATCCCAGTGAACATAAACTGAATTAGACTCTTCAGACATTGTTACATCTTTTTTAGATTTAAACATTTCTATCATTAACAATAATAAAGAAACTAAAATATATGATAAAAGAGATAATTGTTAACTATCCACATATAAATGGAAATGTTTCTCATGCTACATCATATGGGGTATACATGTACATATGTATATTTCTCAATTAATCAAATTTGTTAACGTACGGTCGTGTTGATGATTTTAATGAACGCAATTTATTTATTTCTGACAAACGTCTAAAAACAAGGCTATCGCTATCATAAATGGCGTAAATATTATACTTAGTTTTACCATCGCATTTCAGATTTAGTTTTAAATTTTAAATGTCATTTAAAAATTCTATTACGACTAGGTATAAGTAGGCCTGATTTCTATGGAGATGTGGTTAACAAACTTCGTAGGATCATGGGTCATAATAATTTTTCTGCTGTCTTCACTAAAATTATCAAACGGTTTATTTAAAGAGGTTATGACCCAATTAATTTAAGGCATACTGCATGGTTCGACCCTTTTACAGTTGGATGCTACGCTTTCTATTTTTGATTTCATCTAACGGACTAAGTGGGAGACTCTATGGTGGACAGTTCTTAAAGCCCTTTGGGACTGAATCATCTTAATGAACAGGCTCAATCAAACCGAGCCTGCAACATTTTCAATTTTGCCGTGTTTGGCTTTCTTTAGGGATTCTTATTTTCTCTATTTTAATGTTTGTCATCCGTGTTGCTTCGTCGGGCCCTTGTGGGTGATTTCTTGTTGCTCTGCCTTCCTTGAAGGCATCGAGTTCTTTGGTAATGGCAATGGGTTGTACCTTTTTGTATATATTTACACGATGTGTTTTATTTAATTCGTTTAATGTAAGCATGGCCATTGTTTGAATTTTACCCGGCGTGGATTAATTTTATTTGCACTGTCTGGTCATATAGGAAGATATTGGGGCTGTTAATGACGTTTGGCGCGCCTAAAACCGGTTTTACTAGCTTGGCTACTGGCTACCAGCCTTTTAAACCTTGCTGCCTGACAAGAACAATACTTTCCAAAATGAACTTTTGTAGTTCAATAAAACCACTTAAAATGGAAATAGACAATTAAGAATTTAAAAATGGGTAAATTCATTGTAATGTATAAATTTTGCAATAAAAGGAGGGTCTTACCTTTCCAACATTCTGGCAATGAATTCCATATTCCGTTCTCCATACATTTAATTGTGTCATTGCCATGGATAACGTAACCAGTGTCACATTTAATTATTTGTGTACTTCCAACTGAAAACATGTTCCCCTCTGGTTTCCCATTCTGAATCTCTGGGTACTGGCATCCTGCTATTTAATAAAGAAGTGAAATCACTATATACGTCTTATAAGTATATCATTTTAATTATGTATATGGTCATTGAGCGCAGCTACCACTATATCCCGTTGTACAGGGCATCAGCTTAGGTATCAAAGAAGAACGGAAAAGAAACTTAACCAAACTAAAGAAAGATGAGGTGAATTGAAATCTTGAATTACAATCAAAAAGTGCATGAAGGATGTTACGAAAAAAGTGATGAAAGTTGGAAGGGTGGATCATTGGAAGATTGACAATAACAATGCTTTCTAGACTTTATATACTCACAACAGCAGAAGTAAGTGTTGTGCGGCAGATAAAATGTGTCCCCCAGAAGATTTTTTTAATATTCTGGTCCTTTTGAATATGCATTCAAAACTTTTAGAAAAGAGAATTGAAAATCCTTTTAATTTTGAATTTTATAGCTTTTGTTTCATTGTTTAACAGTTTATTAAGTTTGAAGCTGGCGGTAAATGTATGAGTGAATAATTAATAAGAACTTGATATTTGTTAGGACCGACATCAAATTATTGAACAATCGTGCTTATATATTTTCATATTCAAACATGATATGGGAAAGAGTCCCCTTGGAATACTGCTGCAAATTGCAGAGGCATAATAAATGTAATAATTCATGATCCTTTTTGTTATATCTAGAAATCATTGTCTATTTGAATTTTGTAATATAAGTGCATCGATGCATATAGATGATTATTTAACTATCGCATAATATGGTTTCATATTATAAGATAGGCAATGAGTTGATAAATTGTTTTAACTATCATTAATTAATTCAAACATTTTATTCACTACGCTTCTTCAACAACAAAAACGTGTTATAAATTTCAATGAATGTGTATCATAAATACATAACCATAAATAAACATAAATACACATTTAAAAATTCAACATAACAAAGGCGTTTTTTTTCTTTTTTATTTAATTTTATTATTTCATATTGATTATTTTCAATACTTCTATTTGATCATTTTATATACACTGTAGAATAGAAAATAGTATTTCAGTTATACATGTAATTCTTTCAAGTATCACCTACTTTTTGAGGGTTTGTTAGTGGTAGATTTTACGCACAGTATGATATAACTCTCCACGCATGCGCGGACACCTGTAAAATGTGTTATGTATATCATTCCGCCTTTTCAAGTTGAGCTCCAAACGTAACAGAACTTTGTTCTTTTAGAGATAGTGTACTCTTATATAGATTTTTTTTAAATAAGATATAATTTGAAGTAGACATAACAATATCCGAAATGGCTGAAACCGGATACAGTTCTTACCAATAATGTTTCAATTAAATGCTTGAAAGACACATGAAATATCAAAATGTGAATATTGGCTGAGCATCAGTCCTTGGTTACCAAGATCTTTATTCCCTCAGGAAGATTTGGGGATTTGGCTTTCTGCATGTTAGGTTTTTCGCACTGCTGGGCGAATGTAAATGTTTTGTTTTCGCACCAAAAAAATATAGAAAATATGGTAAAAGCGATTAGCAGCACAGTAAGCACGATTTTTATCTGGTTTTCAGTCCATCCTCACTAATTCCGGTAGACTTAGTAGCTGGTTCAAAGCTTTTCTACAGGATAGGACAGTGTTTGCAAACGACTGGTGCATTAAGTGTAATTCAAATAATGAAAAAACGTACCAATATTTGAGCAGGCAGTATCTCCGTTTGCAGCACACTGTTGTCCATTACCATTCACCTAAATCATAGAAACAAAAAATGTAAAACTTGTGGTTAATAACGAATAATGTTCACCGGACACGCGCTGATAAAAAAGAATAGTGTAGATAAAGTATATTCATGATAATATTGAAAATAATAGGCGCTCCACTAAGGTCAAAAAGCCTGAAACTTTAAAATATTTACTTACATAAAGTGAAACGTAAAGAATAATATTTAATTTAATATTTTATTTATTTTTCAATTTTGTTTAATACATTTTCGAGATGTAACATGAATATTGTACGTAAAAATAAAAAGAAACTAGAACTGTGTCCAAAGGACACGGATGCCCCCACTGTGCAGATGTGCTCGTAAACAAGAGCATGCATATCTGTATGTAAGATTTTTATACGGTACTTTTTATTAAAATCTGCCATCCGGTTTAAGAGGAGTTGCGTTCACAAAATTTCTATATGGTATATAGTGAAAAAATCCACAAAGGGCCATAATTCTGTTAAATTTGGTCTTCCTTTACTTCCATCTACACATTAAGGTTGTTCATCCCTGGACGTTTAAGCAAATCTGCCATCCGGTTGAAGAGGAGTTGCGTTCACAAGATTTCGGGAGGTACGGACAGACGTACGGACGGAAGGACGTATGGACGGACAGACAAGTGCAACGCTATATGCTCCCCACTTTGTGGGGGCATAAAAAAGTTTTGAAACAAAATATAATGCTACTCTTAATCGTTTTAAAGAAAACTCAAAATCAAAGATGAAATTTACTCTACAGGTGATAAACTTTTGACGTGTACTTTGACATGTCTCTCCTTTACTCATAGTTGTGTAAAATGTAAATTTTTATTTTATTCACTTTACGTCAAAGCATGTTATCGACATTTTCAAGCTTATGATCAATAGTTTCTAAAGCCAACAAAACTGTGATCTTTAATTGTTATAATTTTCAAACATTACCAAAATGAAAGCTATTACTCTGATGATTGATTATATTATACGAGGGGTGTTCAAATATGAATTCATCTACGTATGTAAAACTTGATTCTTCATAGGTGTTTTTTTCACTGATTTTTTTTATATTTTGCTTCTTCATATTATTAACCTCCAACAGATAAACAAAGTCCCTGTCCCCGAATCTAATCTTTTAACATAAAGGCGGCATTTTTAGTCTTGTTTAGGTATACAATGAAGGCCCTGTAATATTGCAGAACTATGGTGTTTGCGCTGAAAACATTCGCGAATAGAAAGGTACATTTTAGCTTTGGAAACAAAGAAATAGACACAAGTGCCAAGGTGTGGTGAATACTGAGTATGGGGAGCACAAGGCTATTTGACTGTACGATGCCCAGACGCAGCCCTATAGTATAAATCAGATTGCCGAGTTTTGCTGTTCTGTCTCTTTTGTATAATTAGCAAAAATAAAAACACCTTCCCTGTTGTCACAACATGTAATCCCAGAAAAAAGTAGCCAATAAACGAGCATCTGAATATGATATTTCCATCGCTATCCCTTTCTCTGCCGTATCAATCAGTAAACCCCAGAAAAAAACACGAACCAATTCATGGGTACGATCTGGAGTACAGGTAACTGCACTGTGCATATATATGTATACGATTTAACTCTGACACATTTTCAACAGAAAGGTCCCCAAACTATGCTACAATAATAAATTCAGAAATATTCAATGATTAGTAAATGAAAAGAAATATTCTCTTTTTTAACGAATGTAATTATGAGAAAACTTACGTCATGGATGTCCTCACGTTTTATCTGTACGCAATTTCCAGGCTTTTCAACTAACATCGCCTTTGTAAAGCTCACACAGTGGAAATCGTCTTTTGAAAACAAGACCTTGGCAATTCCAAGTAACCGCGCAATTAAACACACAGTCATTTAAAGGAACGCTCGTTATGGACAGCTTCGACATTTCCGGAATATCTACGCATGTTTTAAAACTTGTTACTTTATAGTTTATTTCTACGTTGTCTTTTTGAAAATAAAAACAATCAACTGTTGTCATTAAGTAAAATAAAAAGTAAATCGTCGCCATCTTACTTTGCTTATAAAATCTTTATCAAATCTTTATTTCCATTATAATATTTTACTTTTAAAATTCACGAATATCTAAACCATGCTTTCATTCAAATAGCAATTATAACGATACATCGGAAAACATAAATGAGGAGTCTTTGACAAACATCATGTTGCTTTGTTATGGGCCGCTATTGCGCACGCACCTTACCATGCCAAAGCATTTTAGTAGTGTTAAAATATTTATATATTCCAATATTACCATATTTTAAACATGTCGTTAATTTCAATAATCAGTGTAATACAGTTTAACCCCTGCAGAATAACCACTGTATACATTTTAAACAGTATTATCTCTACCTAAAAATAGTTAAAGTAAGCATTAGATTTGTTTATTTGTTTGATTTGGATTTTACGTCATACCGACACAGTATAGGTCATATTGCAACATTTGGAGGAAGATCTCATGTTTTCAGGCACGAACGGAAACAAGGTCAATAAATTAATTGGTAATAGATGAAACATCTCTACAGCACAACTTCTTAGAAACGGTCCGATCCTTTGCCTCACATTTATTACGCCAATTTTTACCCATTGATTACTAATTTCTCCGTGATGAAGTACCCCCTTGAGGTTGAAGGGTTAGACACCAGAATTGCAGCCACCGTTTATCCCTGTGTCCTCGTTAGAAGCGACTAAACGGGTTAGAATCACTTGAATATAAGCGTATCTTAGCTCCAGCAGGTAAAGTGTTTTTACCCCTGGTGTTGCTTTTAAGTTTGCAACATCCAAATTTAACTAAATCGTCTTTTCTTCTTCAGTCCCATATGACCTCTATTGTGTTTGTGCCGCCGTAAAACCAAACAATGAAACTTTAAGAAACTTAAGAATGTCTCAATACCAAGATCAGTACACGACAGAAGTCTTTAAAGTGGCGGGCAGAATTCTAAAGCAAGGTATTTTTCCATGTACAAGAAAACAGATTTAAAAGGTGATATTATCAAAGTTTATTTAACACTTACGAACTTCAAAAGGTGAACAAAGACGAAAATAGTTTATGGTTCATTGAGCGTATATTAAGAAAAAGAAAAAGGAAAAAGAACCTGAAATATTTCGTCGAATAGCAGGGGTTCCCAAAACTTTTAATAGCTGGGTAGATGCCGATGAAATCAAAGCCGTATCTGAAAATTAAACCATAGACATTTAATATTATTATGGAGCGATTGCGGGTGTCTCGCGAACTGACCTTATTGTTTACTTTAGGAAATGCTAGAGGGAGTGCTTCTCGACGTTTAATTCCACAAATAACCGCTGGGCAGGTAGATGCTATGAGCGAAATGATGAGGAGATTAACAGCTCGATCAATTATCATTTACCAATTCGCCGCTTATATCTTTGAAGATCATTCTAGACATGTAAACAAACGAAGGGAAAAGAACGCATCACTTAGGCATCATTATCTGTTAGCTAGAGTAATACGATCTCAATACATTTATCAAACCATAGCTGCTGAAATAAGCGACACGATATATATGGCAGATGAATTAAGACCAGTTCACAAAAAATTAAAATAGATACAGGAAACTTCCAAGACGTATTGGGAAGTGCGCCATAAACATCATGGATTATTTTTTGTATTACAAAAGTGATGAAAATGATGTTTACTTTTCAGATAATCATGTGTATCGATTTAAATTGGATTTAAATATGCCATTGACTAAAAATGATAAATGGATAGTGGCACTCATAGATTTTAATGTGGTAGACGCTTCCAAGTCTAGAACTAAAACGGCGGACGGACTGTACATTTACACGGACCTTTGCAAGGAGAGTGTTGTTCACGGTGCAGAACAACCACTCTTGAGACAAAAGATAGGTTGGAATTATATGTTCAACAAGCCTTACTATCTTCCTGTGAAAAAGAAAGGACTGCAAGAGTTTCAGATATATATAAAGCTAGGAGATGGTAGTTACCCAGTCACCGCAATTAGACGCATCGAGTTTAACAGAATCCAAAATAGTGTTTTAGACACTAGGAACTTACCAATCTAAAAACAATAAAGACACTGTTTGACGACGGACTAAAGGAAGACTTATGTGAAATTGTAATTCTAAATGTAGAATCATGCGTATCAATCAGTGCAGAAGAAAAGTCTCCCGTCCCTAGATTTGCCACTAAAATGCCACCCTTTTCAATGGTGGAGTATTTAGACAATTTTCCACCAATAATGCCACCAAAACGCCACCCAAATCATGAAAATGGTGAAAAATTTGAGCAGGACTGATGTTATATAATTTTCCAGTTAATTCCACCTTTTTTACACTAAATGCCACCAATGAGTGGAAAATTGGTGGAGTATTTAGACAAACTTTCACCATAATGCCACCATTATGCCACCTTATGGTGGCAAACTCATTTTCCACTAGATGCCACTTGCTTCCACTTATTGCCACCATAATGGTGGAAAATTGGTGGAGTATTTAGACAAATTTCCACCATTATGCCACCATTGAGTGGCAAACTTATTTTCCACCAAATGCCACTTATTTCCACCTTTTGCCACCATAAGGGTGGAAAATTGGTGGAGTATTTAGACACTTTTCCACCATTTTGCCACCAGATAGTGGCAAATTCAGTTTCCACTAAATGCCACCTATTTTCACCCTTTCAGAAATTTTCCACCTTGTGGGTGGCAATAGCTGGAAACTGCTTGAAAGTCACCCTGTACCCTAAATTGGAAACAAACAAATTTTAAAAATAATCCTTTTTAATGTTTCCATATGAAATTATATATTGTCTCAAAAAATAGCAAAACATTAGTCCATTTATTATCTTCAGTTTGTCTTTCTATTCCTGGACGGTTTGAGTTCAATCCTTTAGGTTGTCGGCAACTTTTCGAGCGCACAATCTAAAACAAAATAAATTATGAATGATTAATACAATAATTAAAAACATAAGCTTACATTTTTATATGACTATTGGATATTTCTATATTCAATTTGAGTGCATAGATATGATTAAAACACTTTAAAAAACAGCACTGCAGACGTGGAAGAATCAGACTTTTCTTATTTACTCCAAGGCAGAAAATATACGCAGAATCAAAAATGATATTTTCATTCAGTTCATTAGTTACCTTCCAAGAACTTAAGTTTTGCCTTGTCTGCACAAGAAGGTCTGGCGTCAGACTCTCTGTTCCCTTTCCTCATACCAAACAATGAGCGGCCCCTAATCTCTTCTATATTGAATAGCATTCTGAAGAGCTTTGCTGTACCTTTCTCTTTTGAGGTTATGGCTTCAGTTCTGCCATCACTTGGTCCTAAAATATGATTAACAATATCAAATAAGTAAAGACAGAAAATGATTATCAATATCTAATATGTAAAGACAGAAAGTGAAACACTTTTGTAAGACCTTGGTATATGTATACAACTCTAAAATTTTAAAATAAGAAAGAAATAAAGAAATACAACACATCAACACCAGTGCAGGTTGAGTAATTAATAATCTTCCAGTTTCAGTTCTTAACCAACCTTCATCAGGATAAATATTTGATAAAATTTTCAAGCTAAAATGTACAAAAACTCTAAAATTTGTAAAACAAAATGTAAATGCAAATTAAAGTGTCATAAAGAGTTTGAATTAAAGTAGGTTTGTAAATAGTGACTAATAGCTATATTTATCAAGAACTGAAAAGTGTCTTATTGGGTACTGTGACACTTCTTTCCTATTAATTCTAAAATAACTTTGAATTAAAAAGATACCTTTGTAAAGCCACTGAAGATCAAATGTGTTGCTCCAGGCTGCTCCTCATTGCTTTGTGTCTGCAAAATAATAATTCTTATTTAATGCTGTTTCTGTTATGAACTGTCATTCTCCTAATAGCATGTTACTCTAGACTGTCTAGTTATGGTTATATAATTATCTACTGCACCATGAAAGCTGAATTACAACAATGAAGGAATAAAACTTACTAATAAATCAATTACTGTTAATCTGCTCCACATGTGACACACAAGGAAAATTGTTTTTAGCATGAAAGTTGTAGTAATAGGTACCTCAAGTTATCTATAGTTTGAATGATGTAATATTGTACATAATGATATTGTACTTACTGATTAATTTCTATAATTTTTTTTCTCAAACTTAAAATTTCTAACATATTGTATTTAAGAAATGATGAAGATCTTCCTACATTCTTTATATTCCTACATTCTTTATATGTACATTGTACATGCAGCTTTCTTTTTAGTCAAGTTACAAACAAAACAAATATAAAACACAATTTTATACAATACCACTTCATATTTTTACTGTCAAAAAACTAAACAGTTTCTGCATAAATAACAATAATTATTGTATGTAAAAGTTGTTTACCTGAAACTTTGACTGGGAATGATTCTGCTGTTTATCTTCTTGTCTACACATTCACACTTCAGTTAAAACTTCTCATTTCTATTCACCACACTAATAAGACTTTAAATGTTTTCTTTGAGAAAATCAAAAATATGCACCCTTACATTTTAAACAAAATATCTCCAGAATTGCTACAATATCAATAATTTCCTTTGTGTTTGCAAGCTTTAACTGACCTCAATTCCTTTGAATTCAAACTTTACAACGGTGTAACTGCATGGACAGTCCATTATAATTTTAAATTGTGAGGATTTTCCAAAAACCATAGCACCATCATTTTATTTTTTACATTCATTTGAATGTATAACTATATCTAATACCTAAATAGATTGAGTAGAAATAAGCTTTTGAAAGATAATTTAGCATGCTATTTTAAGACAAATTCTACATAAAAACATGTATAATGTTGCCTCTCCCAAAATAATCAAATGGAACATTCTGGTCAGCATGAGTAAACTATTAACCCCCATTCATAGATTACTAGATAAGAGGGCAGTAGTTTTATCAGATCTGAGATGTATGCTGTGTTGTTAAATCTTAGAGGATGCAGTATTTACTAGCTAGTATTTACTTATCCTGATTGTAAGAAATTTATCAGACACTATGACTTATTTACTTTTCACACATTAATTTTTACAATAGATTTAAAGCCTCTGAAAGCATAGCACAAAAGATGTTAGAGACAATAATTTTAAACTCCACATATAACTAAATCTCATTTATGAGATTAAGTTACAATGCCAAGGAACCATAACTTTTTATTGCATGATTTGGGGTTTATTGCCATTTTTTACTTCTCTATGCTTAATTTTTGTCTTGATCATTAAGCTTAAAAAGTACTGGAGATATTAATTTGAAACTTCACAGATATAGATCTTTTTGAGTAATGTGCTGTGTTTAAGAACCATAACTCTTTGCATACTTTTGGAGTTATTGCCCTTTACATTTTTCACTTTAATTATTGTTAGCATTACATGAAAAGTGTTAGTACTCACCAGATATCAGTTTAATATTGAAGAGACAATTTATTATGTTAGTTAGAAGAAAAAACAAAAGTCAAACTTTTTTCAAGATTGACATTAAATATCATAGAAGAAGCAACAAACTTTATGCAGAGATATGCATTTTCTGGGCATAGAAGAACATTTCAACTATTTAATTAATGTACAGATTATAACTAAAGAACAAAGTACACTTTAAAAGCCGTAATTTTATTTTACAAGCATAGAATGGAACATAAACATTTTGACTTGATGTCAAATTTTACATCCCTAAAGAAAAGTACTGCCATAAAAAATGGGAAGTTAAGTAACCCCATACTTTTCTAATTTTTCCTGATCATAATTATATGTGTTTAATGCCTGGAAAAGTGATTTTACGTCCAATTTCTGTGTCTTTTCCTGCTACTTTACAGCTGGAATTATCATACCGTTACTGTGAGGCAGTGACTTTGTATCAGAATTGTGTTCATGGCATTCTAGTATGTTTAAGAAATATGAGTTTCTGATAAAATTTTCTAACTGTTCAACTTCAATAAATTATATTTTTGATAAAAAGTTCACTTGATGCTTTGGTAGAGTACAAACTATAAACAGACTTATTTCAGTTTGGAGCTTTGACTTAAATAAATCTTAAACCCTGCAATGCACAATTATTAGATTTCTCAGTTTTTATGCCCCCACAATGTGGGAGCATATAGCGTTGCACTTGTCCATCCGTCCGTCCGTCAGTCCGTCAATACGTCAGTCCGCACTCACAGGAGAGTAATTATGTGGCTAGAGGGACAATAGGTAACTGTTCTTTCTCTTTGATGTCATTCATTCCGTAATGCTTTTATGTGGCTATTTTCTTTTGTGTGGCTAAAAAGAACAATAGAGAGAACAATAGAGTAGCCACATAATTACTGTCCTGTGAGAACAGTCCGTCAGTTCGTCCGTCCGTACGTCCCGAAATCTTGTGAACGCAACTCCTCTAAAACCGGATGGCAGATTTTCCTTAAACTTACAGGGATGAACAACCTTAATGTGTAGATGGTAGTAAAGGAAGGAATTTTTGCTGTGACCAAATTTAACAGAATTATGGCCCTTTGTTGATTTTTTCCCTAGATACTATGTAGAAATTTTGTGAACGCAACTCCTCTTAAACCGGATGGCAGATTTTGCTTAAACTTACAGGGATGAACAACCTTAATGTGTAGATGGTAGTAAAGGAAGGAATTTTTGCTGCGACCAAATTTAACAGAATTATGGCCCTTTGTTGATTTTTTCAATATATACTATGTAGAAATTTTGTGAACGCAACTCCTCTTAAACCGGATGGCAGATTTTGCTTAAACTTACAGGGATGAACAACCTTAAGGTGTAGATGGTAGTAAAGGAAGGAATTTTTGCTGCGACCAAATTTTACAGAATTATGGCCCTTTGTTGATTTTTTCACTATATACTATGTAGAAATTTTGTGAACGCAACTCCTCTTAAACCGGATGGCAGATTTTGCTTAAACTTCCAAGGATGAACAACCTTAATGTGTAGATGGTAGTAAAGGAAGGAATTTTTGCTGCGACCAAATTTAACAGAATTATGGCCCTTTGTTGATTTTTAGTTTTCAACTTGTGGCACATGTAGTCCAAAAAATATTTGACCTAGAGTCATAAGATTGACAGAACAGTGGCGTGTGGGGGCATCCGTGTCCTATGGACACATTTCTAGTTTCCACCAATTTTTATACAACCCAGAAAATAGTTAAGAGTTTCCCTTTTCGACTAAAAGTTATTCACAAAATTTTCTAAGTTTTTTTCCACTATTTTGCCACCCAGAAAATAGTTAGAGTTTCACTTTTTCACTAAAAGCCACTCATTTTCCACCTTCAAAATAAACTAAGTTTCATTTTTCACCAATTTCCACCCTTTCGCCACCATAAAAAAAGTCTATGTTCAAATTTCCACTCAATGCCACCTAAATGCCACCAAAGGATAGTGGCATTTGGTGGCAATTTTGCCACTTCAGTGGAAAAAGAGTGGAATTTTGTCATTTTCCAGTTAATGCCACCTTTTTTACACTTAATGCCACCCTTTTCAGTGGAAATAGCTGGCAAGTAGTGGCAAATCTAGGGACGGGCTGTTCGCTGCTGCTTGGTAAATGATTTCTATCTTCCAATGATGTCAAACCCCTTGCGGGAATGTAGACGTTTTGACGATTTGTTGTCATTCAATAAATTTAGTTTAGAGCAAAGCTTTCTTTGTTTTTCTGTGCTTTCAAATGGTATTCTTTTCACATTAATTTTATATACACAGGTTGATATTTAGTTGAATAAAATTAAACAAATATTTTAACAAAATCAGAGAGAATTCTTCTACTAACTCGGATTATTAGATGCTGAAGTCAAGTTAATAATTTTTTTATGTAAGCTGTAGTGTATATATTATGTATTTCACTATCTTATACCCGCATTAAAGTTGAGTGTTCTTTTTTCAGACTTTCACAACTAGAAGCGCATATGTGGATGGCGCAAATAGAAGCAAATATGTGGATGACACAACTACAGCTTCTTCAAAACACATTGACATTCCAAATTCGTACAACCAGATTGACATTTCATCTTCAAAAACACAGATGGACATTTCAACCCCAAATATCCACACGTCCACCCAAAACCCTGAATCCAAATTACCTGATAGCACCATGTCTACCAATACTGATAATGACATTACGTATTATCCTGCTCCTTCCTGGTCTACACTAAATGATACAAATATTTATATAATATTTTTTGCAGTTTGGCTGTATTTTTTTTTTTTTACAATTGTTTTAGTAATTTTAAAATATTGCAAAAACAATCAACATTATTCCCCAGCTTTACAATTGGAAACATTTTGTATTACACAGGATGAAACAATATTCCAACAACAACCATGTCCTGCTTCTACTATAACCTATATTAATTCAAATTTAAATGCAGATTTAAGACCGCTTCCCCCCTCAACTGCAACAGTTACAAGTTCAAATTCAAATTGCTGTCAAACTATAAAAAACTTATTCAATACTAATCAAACTTGAGACAGATGTTGACTGGACCATTTCCTTTTTAACAACATGCTCAGTCTTAAATTTCCTGTTACCATGCCAACGAGGGGACATCTCAAAATTGCCAAAAATCACTGTTTTGCATTGATTTTTTTCTCTCAAAATTGATTTCAAAGTGCTGTAACTTCTCAATGGATTCAGATAGAGTCAAACGCTTTTCAACGTTGGTTACACATTGCCTTGGGTCATTTTTAGCTATTCGCAATTCCAAAATTTCTTGGCGATGAGGGGGAGTGCCGCCCCCTTCAAACCCCCGAAACAGAAGGGAGCACATCCCCTTGGCAACCCCCTGATATACATTTTGTTTGGGGGCGGCGCCAAAACAGTGCTAATTTTTTTATCAACATTTCTCATGTAATGTTCAGTTTGCTTGTATAGGAAAATGTTGGATATATATTTTCATTTGTAATCCTTTCAATTGTTGACGTGCTGCTTAATTAGCAATCCTTTTTTAAAAGTTTTTTTCAATATGAAAATTACATCAAACATTAATAAGTTTCGAATTTTATAGCCTTTTCTAAACCCTCACGCATCAAGAATTAGTCTTTTTTTGTTCTTCTTCTATTGCTACTACTCTGAAATTAAGTTATCTATCTAATATTCTAGTAAGATTCAGTTTTTTTTTATATTTTGCTTGAGAAATTAATGTTGGAACCTATTTATTTAAAAGGCGATCACGTAGTATACTGCCGTAGCTTCTATTTTTGATTTTATGATTACACTCACTTTAGTTATTTTTCTGTTTTATTCTATAAGAAAATATCTGCTCATTGGAACCATTGTATGTATTCTTCTTATGATACTTGTATCCAACTGCTTTGGTAGCATACATCTTTTGTCACTGACAGCTTAATGTCTAATACTTCTTTCTTTACATATAATGTAAATGGATTATCCAGTAAAACTAAACGAACGAGCGTTTTTCATTGGTTAAGATCAGAAAAAGTTGATATATGTTTACTTCAAGAGGTACATTTTAAAGAAACTTGTAAAGATGAATGGGAAAATGACTGGGATGGTACAATTATATGTAGTGGCAATTCGAATAATCAAAAAGGTGTTGCTATCTTGTTCAGAAATGATTTGAAAATACAAATTCTAGAAAAATATGAAATTGAAATTGGTAGATTGTTGGCAATTAAAGTAAATATTGAAAATAAAG